TTTTGACTTCCTTTTTCTCCTTTGCTTTCCTTCACCTTTCTGAGCTCCTCTCTCTCTTCCTCATGACTCCATCCCCCAGTCACCCCTCTCTCTCTCTACCAAGATCTTCACTGGCCCTTGTGACCCAACCTCCCTACCTACTCCCAACACATTAGGGGCAGAGCGGTGGCTCTGTGGCTCAGGATCTGCGCCTGTGACTGGAAGGTTGCCGGTTCAAAACTGGTATTGTCTGTCACCCAGCTACTTTGCCAGTGCCGTTCCTCTTTGTCAGCGCGGTTCACCCAGAATTCTGCTGCCCCCTTTGTCTTTTCTCTGCCTTGTCTTCCTTATGCTACTCCACCATTCCAGTCCATTCACCAATTCCTGTTGTTGAACACAACCAAAACTGCGGTGTGACAGACCCCACCCATAGACAAGGCGGCTGCAGGGAACTGAAGATATAAAACAAAAAAAAACATTCACTTTAAGGTGCAGAAGGCATTATTGCAGGGTTTTAGGTGGATCTTACATATAAAAGAAGAAAATCCTGCTAAACTCTCACTGTCTCCCTAATCCCTAGCTACTAATGAGTAATTACCAAACGAGCATTATGATATATTCAGGTCTAAAGGGGTGAAAATAAAGTATTCATGAACAGGATATGTTTTCTCTTATTATACAGTTACAGTTGTTAACTGGAGTGTATTTTATTGTTATTAGGCAAATAGCTGAAAAATTCAACACAAGTACGAGCATAAAAAATTAAAAAGCCAGTGTAGATAGAAAAATACAGTATATAAAATTTAAATGCCATTAAAAAGCAATATACATAGTAAGCAAGTACTGTAGTACAGTACTGTAGGTACAGTGCAGGTACTGTAGTACTGTACTGTAGGTACAGTGTAAGTAAAAGTGGAGTATTCTATTCTTTTAAGTTTCATGCCTTCAGATCTCTTCAACTGTGTGCATTACATCTGGAGCTGAATGGATGAATGTGAAATGAACCCATCTAAATGCAATTCATTCACCTGGAATGTATACTAATAATTTATAGGACTCAATAACTTCCATCCATTTTCTAACAACTTTATCCAATACACATTCATGGGGGAGCTAAAGCCAATTCTGGCAAGAATGCAATAACCTACAGTACGAGAGGCAAATCAGTGAGAGAAAAAATGCCTAAGTGTAGTATAACACTGTTAAACTAATTAGTGAATAATACCATTTCATATTATATGTGTCCATAATTGTGTCTGTGAATATATACTGTACAATTGCTTTTTCCTGTTGCGTATATCTTTGAATGGCTGACCCAGTTATTACACAATTATTTTGTTTTCTTTGACTGCTTTGGTGATATTTTACAGTGATGGATTATCTCCTCTCTGTTAATCGTGTATGTTAAACAGAGGTGTTTTAAGTTACTGCATAACATGATTTGGGTCAATGAAGCCCCTGGGAGAGCCAAATTTTAGAAATGGCTTTGGTCATCCAGCTGTATGAGTGACACACAAACTCCTATAGTTTGGAAAGGCTGCATTTGCATTTCATTTAATCTACACACTTACATAGACCCCTACAGTAATTCAGAAATTACAGTTACCTTTGAGAACACAATGTAGAAGTAGATTCAGTTTTTGTATTTCCGTCAAGATGGAAATGATTCATATACTTTTGATAGCTACTTTTAAAAATTAAAATACAGTACATTTGTCCTTTAAAACTGAAAAAAAAATAATCTAAGCCTAAAACATTATTCTGTATCTTTATGATTATGTTTCACTTTGGGGATATAAAATGGCTTCAGATTTAATATGAAATATTTTGGTTAACTCCAAATGCAATATCTGATCAGTGGATTGGAAAAACAATATACACTATTGTTGTACCCAGTTACTGTACAATATAAGCACCATTAGAAATCTGTTTTGTCTGATAAATTAAACACATTTTATATCCAAAGAATACTCTTTGAAGAATTATACTCTTATGCTATTATTTAAATTGATGTACACTGTTTGATGTCTCCCTTACAAAACCAATTACAGTAGAAATACTTGTACCTTTAGGAAACCTACCCTTGGAAAAATCAACTGCCTTTGAAGCCAATGGAAACTATAATGTCCTCATACAAAGGTATTGTTTGAGCCAAGGGCAAGATATGATTGTCTTTTTATGCACAGGACAGGATGTTTCAATGTGACCAAGAATAACCAAGAAAAACAGATTAAAATGCAGATTTATATTTATTGTAATTTCTAACGGAGTTCTCTTACTAGTTAGGAATTGGCGGTCTTAAAACAGAAATTGTGAATACTTTCTGAGCAGTAAAATTATGAAGATTATGTCTTATCATACTCATTATGCAAGCACTCTTTCAACAGATACTATATTTTTAGAAGTGTCCCCTATTTTCATTCCTAAATGCACCTTATTTTAATTTCCACTGGTGCCCTCAGGTCCTGTTTTTGTTGCTGAGCATGAAAGGGTAGACAATGACTTTGTTAATAACTTTCAGGATTTTGAATACTTTTATCCATGTAAATCTTCCCTTAAGATCAAAGAGAATATTTATTTTTTCATATAATTATAGTATGGAAGTGGCATTTAGGTCATATGCAGTTTAACATGAGAACCATTTAAATAACATCTATATTGAAAACTGGCATGATACTTCTTAAATACAGCAGAACAGTACACATGGGAGAATATACTATAAATGAAGTTACCAATGGTAGCTTACAATTACACATGTTGGTCTAGTAAAATGTTATTAACTTACCTATTGATTATTCATTAACTGCATACACCATCCTAGCTGATAGCTACATGTATATAGAGTGTATTGCTTGTTTCATCAACATATTGCAGAACATATACAAAACTTTAGCAGATATTCATATTGCTGAGGAAGTTCAAAGTGTTTTGCAAAAGCTGGTTATTGCTAAGGCCATTGAACGAACAGAAAATTATCAGGCTTTCCATACAAGTTACTTTAGTGTGAAAAATATTTAGTGGGAGCACCAGTAATCATTTATGAGTAAATTATCTATTTTAACAAATCTTTCCATACTTGCAAATTCCTTACATTTTGGATGATGCTTTTCAGCATTTTCAGATCCCAAAGCACTTTACATACAGTTAATCATTCACTAATGCAATGCGCCATACTTCCACTTATTCATTCACTTCTGCAATGCCCACTACTTCCACTAATTCATTCATTAGTGCAATGCCCACCTGAGGCTTCACTACACAACAGATCAGGATAAAACCTGAGAAACTGCATCACCCTTCAAATGAAAGGGCTAGATTAGGGAGGCCTGCTTGTGTAGTCCCAAGGTGGAATTCAATGGATTCCAGGGTCAGCACTCCTACTTTTACAAATAGTTCCAGATCAAGTAGTCAGGACCTCCATTTAAATGTCTCATCTGAAAGATGGCACATTCTACAGCATAGTTCCCCCTGTTGCCAAGCTAGGGTATTAGTTTGGAAATTATGAACACAGAAGGAAGAGAGGCATCTACTGTTCACCAACACAGCAACGTATGTGACGTTTTCTTTAGAGGTTACCTACAGTATCCTAATGCTGACCTGCCCAAATGTTAGTGATTGGTGAGCTCAGAAGAGAATGATAACACACCTGCAATTTGAACCCACAATCCTCTAGTTACAGTACATGCATTTCACAGCATAAAGGCCAACAGTGTCAGTGTAGTGTATCAACACAGGGACCAGGAAGTTTTGCCCAGAATGTGTAGATTAGTTTCCATAGTGTGCAACAGAATGCATATTTATATTTATACATATTTATAATTATTTCCATTAATGTATGCACACCCCCAAAGGACTGACCACAAACAATGTCAGCTATGCACTTTACGGTTATGTGTTGTAGATTTTAGATCTTAGGTTTTTGCTTTAAAATGTGGTCTACTCTATAGCTTTGCCTTAAGGGATCTATCATACACCTTCTGGAGAATACATTTATGTAAGAGTCTGCCTCATCATTTATTTATCCTAATTTATCTTAAATGCCTAAAGGCATCGTTGAACAAATAAATGTAAGTATTACAGACATCCATAAGATAACTGGGTATTTTTTTCAGACCAAGGGGTTTTCATTTATTTTTTTCCAAAAGTAACCTTAATGTCTGATGTTCCACTTTACCCAAGATGGAAAAACAGGTTTTAAAAGATATGACAGCAGATGGTAAGAGCACATATCTTCATTACTTCACTCCAATTCATGTCTTATTTCATTATAACTGCATGTTATGTCACACGGAAGACTAAACCTTCATTTAAAAGTAAGAAAAAACTTTGAACATGTTAACATAATAAATGTTAATAAAAATAACATGAATGTTTTATGATCTGAAAATAATACTACGGGTAATACAAAAACATATATACTGTACTGAGATGCAATTATGCTAAATTATTGTAATTTGCATAATTTGTGAGCTTTTTTGTATAGTTCAGAAGGCCAATATGAAGTCAAGGGAATTGTTTCATTTGTGGTGTCCTGGTTAGTGTTTGCTTTAATAATCCTGTTTATGTGCCTTTTAAAAATCAAGTGAGGGAAAGCAAAACCACATAATCCTGAAAGATGTCCATCACTAAAGGAGCAACTATTCAGTAAGACATTGGCAAATACAGAAAGTGGAAGTTGACCACTTGCCATCATGGATCTAAAACAAAAACTAAGAAAATGTTGTATATTTACTAATTAATAAAAACTATGGAGTGTTATGAATTTATGTAGCTTGTTTTTGTTAATATTATTATTAAGTGAAGTGACAGCAGCAGAGGCAACATTAGTAGAAGTGCTGTGATATCATTAATCATTGTATCAAGTCTGGTACAACGAGTACGTTTTATTTTCCTACAGTCTGGAACCAAGGGGTTTATTTTGAAATCTGCCTTCATAAGTAATTATTTTACCATTTTAAGCGTCAGTGAGTACCGCATTATAATTAAGTTCAGAGAAGCAGCATTTGGATCACTGCTGTGCCATAAAGCAAAGAAAGGACGGGGGGTAACCAAAAGCTTCCAGTAATTAGTTGATCAGTTTCAACCGAGGCAGCTTGGAAATCCCAGGGCGCTCACATTGAGCAAGAAGTCATAGAAGAAGCCTGGAGTTCATTCAGACTCCAAGCGAGCGCGGCAGTTCAGCACCATTACTTGTGAACAGCGCACTGGTGATTTTCTAGGTGTTTTACATGTGAATTCAACCAGTGTCATTTTTTCCTACTTCTTTTCTTAGAAAAGCGGATTGTAATTTTGGGATTGTCTATTTTGTCTATTTAAACAATTCCTCTGAAAAAAAAAACTGCCAAAAAAAAAAAGACTTAACCTCCCTTGCTCTACAAGGTTTTAACCGTGTACCCGATCTTCGCCTACAAGGATTAGCTGGGCTGTTACAAAGTGTGCTTCAGACTGAGCAGATGCGCTGAGTATTGTGGATCCGTGTCTCTAAGGCGGTCGGAGTGGTGTGGTGCTGCCTAAGAGCCCCTCCATTCAGAAGGATGCTGGTGGGAAATGCCTGGCGACAGAGAGGACGAGATTTGTCAAAAGGCACTGGAACTCTTGTCGGATCTCTGCTCTAAAGGCGAAGTGCAAAACGAAAACTGCTTGGATTTCATCTATTATTTCCGCGATCTTGCCAGACCAAGATACACAGATTCAGGTAATGCTTTCATTGTCACGTCAGAGACTCTGCTCCGGGATCAATAGTCTCTCCTTGAATGTTATACTTTGCATTAGTTCCGCACCCTTTTTCTATTTGTAGAATTTTAGCAGAAATGTGCCAGAAACGAAAGCACCTTTTGCTTTTTTTCCCCACTTTGCACAGAATTTTCATTCACAACTTTGCAGCGTGTGAATGGCGCTACGGTACTCCACCCACCAGGCGCAAAAAGGCACCAGGATTAATCTAGGTACCTCCTTGCTTTCCCGAGCTAAGAACTAGAATAGAGAAGCCAGAGTTTAAATAAATGGCATGGGTGTTCTTTCGGAGAAAAAGCCAATCAAATACAATAAATACGAATAACTTGTTGCAGCAACTATAATATACGCACTTTGTTTTCGCTGTCTTTCTTCGTTTAAATTAAGCAGACTTGAGTATGGGGACTGAACTGTAATTTTCTGTTTTCTCTTTATTTGGCGGTGATCGGCTAGGAATTAGTAAATCGTCTATTTTTAGACGCAAGGAAGAACTCAATATTAACAACCCATCTTAAGAGACAGAAGAAAAAAGTGCCCCACCCAATCTTAAGAGCTGTGCTAAAACACATTAAGATCTACTGTAAGTGCAGCCCGTATATGATGAAAAATTATTTTAAGAGATGAATCCATAAATTATGTCCTAATTAAGCAGCAAAAAAATTCAGAACAGAACAGAAATTCAGATTTACACTGTATGCTAGTTATTTCCGTTCTGTGCGGATATTTCTATATAAAATGAATATGCAAAACATACTTAGGGAATTCATTTTCAAAAGATACAGATACACAGACTTTTTTAAATCATGTACAGTAGTTTATTTCAGTGAGAGGTACAATAAGCATAAATTGGTCAACGTGTATTTTATTGTTTTGCATTTATTTAACACTACCAGCAAGAGAACTGGGTTTACATATTCTAAGTAAGCGGCCAATTATAGCAGTTTGATTACAAAAATGTATGAAACCATGTGTTACAAATATAATAAAACATACATGATCCCATACAAGTTCATAGTTATTTCCCTAAAGGCACAGTGACCTATTTACTGCCTGGATGTGCAGGCATTTTTTTCTGTATTTTATTTCATCAGAGTAACTAGATTTTTATGCAGTTCTGAAAATGTCCAACATTAGCTCATAATGGGAATATTTAATATTTCGGGTTCTCAGTGTTTTGAAGTATATATTGATCTCCCCTTCCCAAAATTTTACGAAAGGTATGCGAAACTCTACAGAGATATAATACAGTCTAATAGTGACCTACTGTATAATTGAGAGAACACCTGTTTTTCTAGAAGTGGAACCATACACAGAATGGAAGCCTATCTTTTGTCTTATGAAAGGGCAATACCACACTTACACATTACAGTATGTGAAGGAGCCCAATATGGCACATAATTTGCATGAAGGACTTCAGGAAACATGGTTTTAGTAGGAATGTTTTCCTGGATTAGTTGAGCATCATTCATGCAGTCTAGTTTGCACTAGACAGGCCATGTCAACTAGTTCCCCATCTTCCATAATGACAAAATCTGCAACATACGTCAAGGTGGTTCTAGTGGGTTACAATACAGTAAACAGCCTCACCAAATCCAGGCATTGCCATGATCTGGTCATGGCACACTGTGTGAACTCCTTTGACCACATCCGGGCTGTTCTTAACCACACCAGTGAAAGCATATTAGTGAACCACTTCCTTGGACTTAATAGAGATTCAGTGTCAGGAATTGGTTGCACTTTTGTACACCATTCACTATATAACTAATCATCCGTTGTTGGCTTCCATTAAGCTAAACATGGCACCACAGAATATGGAAGGCTCTCAGAATTTGACAGTGCTGTACATCATTCCAGACATGAATATCTATAAATGTTTAGACATGTTTATAAACAGAAGTTTGATTTAATTTACAGGATATTAATTCATAAGCGGAAATATACAGCAAATGCTTTTCTTGTTTAATCCCTATTAGCTAACAGGAGTCTGTTTTTCAAAAGAAAAATGAAATTATTTTTTAATGTCTGTTTTTTAGAGGAATCAGAGTTCTTGGTTAAACATGACATATCTAATAAAACATCAAAACTTAGAATTGCATAACAGAAGGCAAAAAATACAAAATATTACAGCTAATTATTTCAAGTCGTTCTAATTAGACAAACCATTGCAAGCTGTTACTAAATATTATTTATAGAAACATACAATCTGTTTAGGTTATGTTCCATTTGGCACAAGAATAAAATTATTAGAATGGAAAAAAAATTATAAAGAGTATTTTTAATTAACATGTTCTGTTGACTTGCTGTGTAGAAGAACATTGCATTTTTTCTTTAGGAATTCAATAAATTTTACAGCAGATGTACTGTAGGTTCAGCAAGCTTTTCTAGTTCATACAGCCTTTTCATCTCTGTGACACAAGAAGCCTCAATTTTGACAGTGGTATTTTCCTCCCCTAGAACACTGTCATAACTCCTTTTACAACACCTACCACAACAGTATTACTCTAGATAATTGCCCACCCCTACTGGATTCCACACAGTAAGACATAAATGAAAGGCTTTTTGTTTTCTTGCCAATTTATGAAGCAGTCGAGCCTCCTGCTTGGCAGTTTTGAGTGTGATAATAAGGTTTTTGGAGAGGCAGATGTTATGGTCCATTGGAGGTGTGCTGGGGTTAAGATTCCCCGCCTCCACAGTCAATGTATTAATAACCTTTCTTTGATGCTCACACAGTTTGTGAGTAGTAAGGAGTTTTTACAAGCTATTACTTAGCTTGATAGTTCTAACTGTGAGTTTCAAAATGCAAAAGGTTCAGATCTTTTTTACAGAAATACTGGCAGGGCTAATGCTACCATAGCTCAAAATCCAATGATTTATTAAACTGCAGCTACTGTACATACTGTATCTGTCCTCACCTTTTATTTGTTGAATTTTAAATCAAAATGTTGTGGAAGATGGTGTGCTCCCAAGAGGCTCAGCCAGTATAAGCAAGAGCATGGAGAGAGCAGGCTTAGACCTGTATTCCTGATACCTGTGGTTTGTACTTGCTCTGGAATTAGATGGCTTTCAGCAGGATTCCTCAAGTGGCTGAGCAGCCCTGGCTTGAATGGACTAGACCTGGTCAGTATTTCCCCAGCCTGCAAAGTGACAGACTACTGGGACCTGCAATTTGTTTACAAGCTTGACGTGGCTTCACTGACGCTGGTGAGAGACTTGACATCCCCAATCAGTGCTAACTCTACCATAAGGAACTGTGGAGCTTACAGTACATCAGAAAATGAATGGCTCCGACAAGCGGGTATTAGATCAGAGTGTGTTTTCTCCCGTGTGCAGTCCAAGTTGATTAATAACTGTCAATTAATTATTAAAAAAATAACTGGAGATTCAGGAATTGAAAATATAAACACCAGTAGAAAAATATTTATAATGTATTCATCTGAATTATTCCCTAGAAGTAATTAAAGTGAAAAGTCAATCTTTTTTATATCTGAATGGAATAAGATTATAGAGAAACTATGGGGTGGATAAAAAAGGTTTTTAAAAAACAAAATTTGAAATTGTGAAACTTTATGCCCTCATGAGGATCCTTGGGAATAAAACTGAGAAGAAGTAGGTCAGTCTGTAATGGGCAGTTAACACAATCTCTGAAACAATAGAATTCTCTTTTAGAAGCTCTGCTAAATTATGAATTCATCCCAAAAGAGGTATTCAGTTTGTATTCTTCTAAACAAGTTAAACCCCCTCATGTGCAAGTCTTTTTAAAAACACAAAAATAATACCAGTCAGACTATACTGAAAAAATACCATACTTACTGTAAATTGCTATTTTAACCCAGAAATGATATTTATAATGTGGTTAATACTGCATATTGCATACAATAAATTGAAGCAGCATTTGGAATTGTATGTTTAGTTTGAAAAATGTAATGTCAGATGTAAAAAGCACTACTCCAAAGCAACAAAAAAAATGTAGGCCTTTTCATGTTACAGAAGCTTTAATCATGACAGCTTGTTCTAAAATAATTACATTTCACCAGTTACTGTAATTAGGACATTGGAAGATTAAAGGTATACTCCATGTAGAGCAGAAGGCGGCCTACAGAGCCTTTAAGACAGCACAACAGTATGATTTTTTTGCCATTAATATTTAGCTTTGTTCACTTCAGATTCTTGCAGGAAATATTTACCAACACAATGCATCTTATAATGAAGAGCATGGTTCAATAAAAGCCATGATACACAATAGAAGTGTCAAGCGGTCGAAAATGTCTGGAAAGTATGTCATCTATTGCAGTTCGTTTGGCTGCTGTTGCTGTATCTAGAGAGCAGCACATTTCATATCCTATGGGATCACTGGGATTTCAGTCACTGTAATCATTAGAATATATTTGATTTTTTTCATTTCTTATGTGTAATCCTTTGAATTTATATGGTTGAACAATTTGCTATGAAAAGAGAACATACTGTATTAAACCATTTCATCACCTGAGTAATTTCCCCTGAAACATAGGCAAATACAGAAAAAAACAATGTGGCCACGATTTATTTAATATAAACCAAGACAAACACTGGCTGAAGAACAATAGTTTTTGTTTACATTACTTAATTAAAAAAGGTTTGTGTGTGTAAATGCCAGATGGAAGGACTGACAAGACCATTCTTGTAAGACACCTGCTTTACTTAAACTTATTATTTTATTGAAAATAAATCATTGGAACAATGTTAGTACAAACAATGGTGATTCTAAAGGTAATTTTTCTTTTACTGTACATCAAAACGTTTAATGCAGTATCCCTTGCAGTTCAGTTTTAAAGCTTGTCATTGTTCATCATTACCATTTGCTACAGTACAAAATTTGTAGAACAGTTGTACAGTAGGTTGAATTACTCACTTTGAGGATTAATCTATACAGGTAATGAGATATATACTTTAGGATTAACATAAAAGCATTGTTCTGTGTAATTA